TGCACATCCAGAAGACAATACCTACTCTAAAGAACTGGGGGACTTCTACTCCCACTTTATATAGCTCCATAGAAAAATATGGGGGTGTTTAATCCTCAGAGTACTAATTGGTAAGTACTATAGTCAGAAATTCAGTACTCTTGCTCTCAGTGCAATGAAGTGCTTTGGGGTTTAAATACAAGACTAAATGATCTCCAGAGGTCCCTTCTGAACCTTGTAGTTGTGTGGTCTGTCTCTTGTATTAGAGCCATCTGAAAATTCTCATACTTCGATATTGAGTGTTACAAACCTAATGTGAGCCCTGTATTTAAAGTGACTTGAGGCTCATTCTGGAGAGGAACTGTGCTGTTGCACTCTCTGATGTCCTTTTGTAAAGTACTGAGGGCAGTGTGGTAGACTTGGATGGGGGTGAGTTTGAGTCCCAGCTTCCCCGTGTTCCATCTGCCTTTCCCTTCATCTGGTCTGTGCAAACTTCTTCCCCTGAGAAAGGGGCCACACATGCATTGAACATAGCTGCAGAAAGGCAGATGGTTGGCTTTTTGGTGGGCGCTGCTGCTCAAACAGCTTTTCCCCTTTCTTAACTGGGAGAAGGAGGGCAGCTGAATGGGCTCATCACGTAGCCAAGGTTTAGCCTGCATTGGTGGTGGAGAGTTGTCTTGGGCAATCAGAAGCCATTGCAATGCCTGGCAGCTAGTTTAACAGCTGCTGGCAATGAAAACAGGACAGCTCCACACTAGCAGTGTTTATTTTTGGTATGTCCGTTCAGAAAATGTAATACCTGTTTGCTCCCTATGGGTGTCTGAAAGGCTTCTATTCACTGAGTTGGTTAAATCAATTTCTGCTGTTGTAAATGGAAAGCTGTATTAAGACCAGAACTAAAGTACTTTACATTCTTCTGTGTCATGGCATATCATTCTTTTTTACTCAAGGCAATTCATTTTGTAGTGCCGTCAGATAATATTTTGTGTTATCTTCAGTCAATGCAGCTTTTATGACTTTCAGTGATACTTTAACAGTTTATTTAGTCCTAAAGATAATGGTCAATGGCCTTGAGTAGTCAAATTAACACCTCAGCAAGCCAGTATTTGAGCAAACCGCTAACAGTAACCTCGGGATGAAAAGCAATGAGAATCAATATAGCGAGTGTATTTTTAGGGGTTATTGATTGATTGATGCGTTCTGGCCTTAGTGGAGCAGCAGCATCGCCCCACAGCTGACTAAGATGAAGCTGCCAGTCGCTGATAACTGCAGGCCATCACCTGTGCAGTGTTTCACAGGCTCGGAGATGAGATGGCAGCCTCCTACAGGCCTGGGATAAAGAAACTGTGGTTCGCGGTGCCAAGCCATAGGAAGATGCTGAGTGCTTCCCTGCTGCCAGCCATCGTGGTGAGGGTCAGTGACAACGTGATGCCATGCGGTGCCACCCTCGCCCCCGTGGGGACACCGAGGCACCCCGCTCCTTCTGCACTGAGCAGCCTGCCATGTTGAGCCGGGTTCTGTCAGCAGCCTGGGTCTCCCCGCCGCAGCTCTCAATTGCTAGCAGGTTTATCTCATTGCACCTCATTTGCATCTGGGACATCAATTAGCATGTTTGTTGAGGCTAATTGAATGAAACTCAATCATAGCTCTTAATTGCTTGACTATGTGAAAAGAAATCACATTAATGCAGCTAATTAAGTGTATGGCAATAGATGCAACATAATTAGGAGTGAAATGTAAAAAACAAGCGCAGGCGAAGGTGCGGGAGCAGGGCGTGGGGACGCGGCTCGCCGTGCTGCTGCCATGTCTGGGGAGGGTTCCCTCCGTGGTGCTGCTTGCTTTTTTTCTGCCTTGCTGAATGATGAACGTGGACAACTTGAGAAGAAAAATGCAAATGGCTTTGCAATTACTACTTTTTCAAGCTGTTGAGGGGCAGAAGATGGCACTTCTGGGGTGGCCCGCTGTTGAGTAGGCTCTAGGGACTTGTTAAGTGCTGTTTAAAAGTACTTGGCTTTGAATTACCCTCATGCCTTGTTAAAGGGTTTTTTCCCCTTTTTTCTTGGATCAGCATTTTCCACAACTAACATCTAGGGGAGTTATATCTGTAACATTTGCATATCAAAATCAGGCTTGCTGTCTTCTCTTTAACACAGCATATTCCAGATGACAGCAAGACCCTCATCTGTTCTAATCTGATCAAACCATACATTGCACTTCTGAGGCCGCCACATTATTCTGTAGTTTTCACTTCTATTCCCCAAGTGCAGATCTGAAGGAGCATGTGCAAGGGTGGATGGTGAGCTGGCTGCAGACTTGGTGCTTTCCTCTGCTCCTCCTCAGGGAACGCAGAGATTATCGCTGTGCATCTTGCACACAATGAGGGAGTCTTTATTGTTTACATTTGATATATCCCTATAAATATTTAAGCTGACGTTAATACCTGCGTGGCATCTGCTCTGTTTGGGCACTTCCATATAATCGTGATGTGGCTGCAGCGCGTTTGTTTCCTGCTTGCCAGCACTGACTGACTCTCCTAAATTGTTCATAGCTCACCTAAGCCCGTTTTACTCCCAATTGGAAGTGCTTTAATCACACCCTGTCACATCTCACCGGTTGTAGCAGGGAAATTCATCTGAAGAACTTGGGCAAAAGTCTTCATTATGAAATTTGAATCGAATACAGCATGGTTGTTGCATGTTAAACAAGAAGTGTCTATTTGAGGAAGTGCACGCTGAGGTTTGGTCACTATCTGATCTTGATCCAGCCTCGTTTTAGAGTCCATAAACCATAAATGCTCAGTTACATTCTGGTCATTGCATTTTAATTTGTAAAGAACTGACACTGCACTAGAAAGTTCAACTTGGTAATTTATAGATGAATCTGCTTTGTTCATTTCTATCTAGCAGCTACCTAAGGGGGTTATTTTAATGCGTTGCTTTTGATTCTTGTAGAAGCAGAGCTCTGCTTTCCTTACCCAGTGAACTGCTCGGACTTCCCTTTTTCATTCTTAATTCCCAAACAGCTGGGGAAAAAAAAAAAGGAGGAGGGGAAAAAAAAAAAAGAAAAGCTCATTTCTATTTTGTACCACGGATTAATGTTAGGTGTGAAGAAATGAGCACCACTTGAGCAGTAGGTTTTGATTTGTTTTGAACAGAATTTATAATTTGTATTGTAAAAACTGTCAGAGGTGGAGGGATTTTTATGAGGGAGCTGATTGCTCCCTGTGTTGTGCCAGTAGTGATTTAGATCTGGAGCTGCTTTTAGTCCGTGCTGGTATTTACTTGTAGAATTGGCGCTGTGGTCATACACAGTGGCCTGTAAGCTGCAGATTTGGATCTGTTCTAATTAATATCTGTGATCTTCTGTATTATACTGTGTAGTCTGACTAAATTTTGCCCTGGACACTTAAGGAACTGAAAGAAATATCACTGTCAGCAAGTCTTTGCTTGTGCAGGCACAGAGCATCACCCGGTTCTCCGGAAAGCAATCAACTTCTACCTGCAAAGAAACGAGGCTTTTTGCTACAGAACACTGTTCAAGAGGAACATTCCCTTGGTTTCCAGTTTAACTCAAGAGTTTATGCCAATTTCTTTTCCCAGTCATTGGTTCACATTGCCATTTTCTTCTTGGGGCGCATCCACCCACACTGTATTTTGTACAATATTTTTTATGTAGTGTTTGTCCTTCATTTTGGCATCTTGTATGACCTGCCCTACGTTTCCTCTCAAAGCATGCAGTCTCTTTCTTTCTGTGGTTGTCCTTGTGTTTGTTCCAGCTTCACTTATTTGTCTTCTGAAATGTCAGTAGCCTCAATAGCATGTACTGGGAGGTGAAAATTTTGTGTTCTAGCTTTAAAATTCACCATCTCTACTGGCAGCATCTCTTCTGGTGTACCACAGGATTGCAGATTCAGTGGCTGTCTTACCTTAATGAACTGTCATTTGTCCTCTGATAAAAAAAAAAAAAAAAAAAAAAAAAAGGCTCATTTGCTTCTCTGTGTTCATCTGAAGAAGCCCACAGGCAATTTAGAGTGTGCAGCTGAAGCTGGAATGCAGAATCCTGAGCATATTCTTCCAGTATAGAGATCAGCACGGCTCACTTTCTCCCAGGTTTCTTGGAAAATAGCAGCTGCAGCCAGTTGGCCATTTCCTTGACACGAGTTATTGGATTTGCTTATTCCCTCTTTGTGTGCCTTTCAAACAAGAATTAGGAAAAGCCTTTTCCACTTCTGGCTTCCAACTTTTACTGTGTTTTCTCTAATCAGACCTGATTTACATAATTTTCTTCCTGCTGTGATTTTTTTTTTTCCATGTACGGAGGAAGGCTCATAATCTAAGGAGACAGTGTTGTAATTTCAGAAACCTTACCAGTCAGCCAGTGCCCTTTAATAACTTTGTCAGTGTTTGTCAATGAACTTCTGCCAAATTTTATGGAGAAAGAAATAACTGCGTGAAACATTGGTGAAATAGAGAGGATACACAAGCAAACGTGTTCATGAGAGGCAGTCAATCTAATCTTGTCATTGGCTTTGGGCCTGGCAAAGTTGCATGTGTGGCTCAAAAGCAGCCACACTGTGACTTGCCACTCACCCTGCTAGTTGTTGGAGGGTGTAGCAGCTCAAGGCTTTGAATCACAGAATCATTAAGGTTGGAAAAGAGCAATAAAATTAATCTTGTCCAATCCCAACCCACTCCACCATGCCCACTGCCCACGTCCCTCAGTGCCCCATCCCCACTGTTCTGGAACACCTCCAGGGTTGGTGACCCCACCACCTCCCTGGGCAGCTGTGCCACTGCAGCACTGCTCTCTTGAGAAGAAATTCTTCCTAATATCCAGCCTGAATTTTGCGTTACTAACATGGACTGTATTACCTAGAAGATGGAAGGAAAGAGAAAACAGTGTAGTGGATGATAGCAGATACAGGACTGCATTCTTACTAAGCAGTGTTTTAGTTGATCTAATGCTTACAGAACTACCTGTTTGATTCTGTTTCTTTGTGTTGTTTCTTTCCCTCTTACCAGGACTACATGCAGAACGTTCACGGGAAAGAAATTGACTTGCTGAGAACCACTGTGAAAGTTCCTGGAAAGAGGCCACCTCGAGCTACGTCAGCTTGTGCCCCCATCTCCAGTCCCAAAACAAATGGCCTTTCCAAGGACATGAGCAGTTTACACATCTCACCGAATTCAGGTAATGCCAGCCAAACAAGCAAAGAGCTGTTTTTCCAATTGTGTGTAGGCAGTTGTCATCTATCACTGGGATGGGAATGAGATTAATTAATTAAAAATCTCAGTGACGGCTACTGTGCAGCTTTTTAAACCTTCTCTGGCTAGTGATCTGGCCTCCACAAGTGATTCTACTGATTTAAAATAACCTTCAACATCCATCTTCTGTATTTGGTACGTTATACTTGCCAAAAGCTGACGTAATTTCACCAAGACTAAAACTGATGTGACCTTACTACTGACTCATTAAGTCTAATACTGTGGAAAAGCAGGAGATGTCACTTGAAAGGTCTGCTGTGGCTTCTTGGTGGCATCCGCATTGCTTGCTTCCACCATTAGAAGGATGCATAATTTTTGGACTTTCCAGCAGTGAGATTCTTCTATAGAAGGCCATTTTATTTTCTTTATGGAAGGAGTTATAGCTCTTTGTGAGCTCTAAACAAAGAATTTTATTGTTCGCTGAAGTACTTGTCCATGCAGCTAAATGGATTTTAAAAATTGCTTTGAGAAAAACCATTTAAGACATTTTATTTTACAAAGCACACGGCTTATGCAAAACACATAACAGTATAGCGTCGGTATAGAAGTTTTGTCAGCATGTTTGGGATGACATCCATAAAGAGCCAAGTGCCTTTTCCAGTTACGACTAACATAGGCATCTCCAGCACAGGCTGACAAAGGTGTCCAAGCACACTTCTATCTCTGTACAGTCCACGCATGTAGGTACAGTGAGCAACTGTAGGAAAGAACGTGGCAAGAGGAGACCCGTTCAAGGATCTTCTGTGTAGTAGTGGTTATTTGTGCTTCAGACCACGGTGTGATCCTCTGCCTTTCTACAGGGCAAATTACCCTACTTCAGGAGTAGGGAGCATTTTCCATCCAACTTCTGATGCTGCTCTTTGAGGTGGAACGTTTAAATAAAAAAGAATAACAATAAAAAAACCTTTTATCTTTTCTGTGCTGCCACAGAGTAGATATCCCTGTGGATAAACAATAGTTCTTGCATTGCACGTGCTATTAGTCGGGCTTGGGACTTGATATGTCTGAAAGTGGTTTCATCAGCCTTTTTCAAGTTGTGGCCTGTGCCTCTAGAGGTGGGGAGCTGGCATTGTCATTGGAAGAGTTGATAGGAGAAAGTAATTCGTGGTTGGTTCATGTGTTACATTTTGTTTTCTAATCAAGATGACTGGGAGAGCGGGTTGTTTTTCAGCATATCCCGTTATTTTGGGAAGAGAAGTGCTGGTCTGAGTCAATATATCAGCAAAAGGACTTCTGTTTTTAAGACAGTTGAATGGCTTGAAACAGGCAGAAATTATTTATTCCTCCAGAGAAGTAAGTTTCAGAAAACATATGCAGGAGTACATGGTAATGGAAGTTTTTAATATGGTATTTACATATTAAAGTTCTAAACTAATTACTGCTTTCCAAGCATATAAGAGTGTAACCAGGGAAAGGAGAACCCGATTCTTTATTGTTACCCACTTGAATACCTTTGCCTCTTGTCTCGTGCAGCTGATCTCCAACCTTAAGCAAGATTCTGACCTGCTTGTCTTCGCATTGCCTTCTTCCCATAGATAAAGCAAATATCAATGCATTAATCCTGCTTCCAACCGACTATAGGTGTGGCGTGACTGTCTGGATACATCTTTATAAGTTCCTGGGGGGAGCAGTGAAGATGGGCTGGGTGATGGGTTCCTACCTGCTGCTTTGTGCCCACTTTGGGTGTCAGAGGGCGTGGAGGTTGCTAAGATTTTGGTGAGATGGAAGGGTTGGTTCTGGTCTGTCTGGTGGTTGCATTTCTGTGCAGATGATCAGCATCAAGAGAGGAACTTTATTGAGAAAGCCAAGTTGTGTTTTCCAGGCTGTACTGAAATCAGTCAACAGCTGATGGATCGAAGCAGTGATCACTGGAGATAGTAGAGCAGATCAGGAGTATACCCAGCAGCAGCTCAGCTGTGTGTCAGTCCTTATGTCATTCTCAGTGCTCTCATATTCAGTTAAGATTGAAGAAAGAGCTGCATTGCACTCAGTGATTTTAGAATATATTGGGAGTGTTAGCATTGTAAAAAGGCAAAGTCACAAGCTGTGCCTGGCTTGGCAGTGTGAACCTTCTTGTTCTCACATGCACTGGCAGTGCTTTGTATGCAGTGGGGTCATGGCTTCTGTTCAGTGGGATGCCCGGGGGTACGGCTCAGCTCCTGGTGTGCCAGGAGGAGCCCTGGCATCCGCACTCATCTGTCAGGCAGCTAAAAATATTTGCAAATTAGCCCTTGTTCTGTCTGTCATGCTGTCTCAGAGCGTTTTCTCAGTTGCTAGTACTGGCAAAACGTTGTCTTCATTGTAAGTGATATTTTAAAACTGATGGCAGGACTGAAATTGTCTGGTTTTGCTGTTGACAAGCTTATGTACACAGATCTGCTGTGCCAAGGAGACTCGGGCCAAGCCCAGGAGAAAATCAACATTTGCTCTTTTTATTAGCAAATACGCGATGTTCTCACTGCATCACATTGCACCTCACCCCTGGAACAGTGATGCTTCGTATTCTTCTGTGCTTTTGCCAGTGCAGACTTGGGATGTGGAAATATTCTCCATGCTTAGGAGTGAGTTGTTTGATGTGGTCTGGATTTTCCTTCTGCTGTTACGAGATTGTGTATGGGTAAAAAGATACGATGTTGGAAGAGTACCAGCACTCAGTTAGAATGTCTGAGGTCACTCGTGGAAATCAAGCTCTTAGCACATAGGTAGTGATAAGCACAGGCCCACTAGGAGCATTTCCCTGATGAAATTCCCCAGTGTTTCAGCCCACTGAGGACATTTCCCAAGGTGCTTCCCAGCAGTGCTGTGCGACAGGAGCTTGGCCATGCTGTTTGCACCTTGTGAGTGGCAGAACTTCAGCTGAGAACCAAATGTAGAGTAACACGAGGAGGTTTTGATACTCTGCTTGTGAGTCTCAGGTTGACCACTGTATGCAGGAATTCATACAAGACGAATAGCAGACAATTAAGCTGATTAGGGAGACATTACCATTGGATTCAAAAGGGATCTACCCATTTTTGAGGCGAAAGGATTTATAATGGTCAAGTAGCAAAGGAAGGTTTGTCTCTTAAATCTGTTAGCATAGCTGTCATGTGCAAAAGCAGTTTAAGAGCACGTCCTTCCTAGCACATGGAGCTTAGTGCTGCTTTGTGGCACCTCTCCGAACAGGATTGTTTTCATGGTTTGAAGACTATTTGATAAACACAGGCATATAACAGCCACCTCAGTGACAGCAGCCTGATCTGTGAGTGTGTTTACATCCCAAACATCTGGAAGCAGCTCTCTCTGGGAGGCAGTCAACAACAAAAGCCAGGTTGCATCCCTTCCTGCAAGTTTCCACTTCAGAGGTGGAAGGGAAAAAAATGCCCGTTAGGAGGGTAGATGAAGGAGAAGCCAGGATGAGTGTTTTTCTGCTCTATGCTGGCACAAGAGCTGTGATGAGTATAAATAAGGTGTTCCTGTCGCTGCAGAGCCAAGCAACTAGCTCACAAAAAGGTGCATTTACTCTGTCTGAATGTTTTGCCATGACACAATGAAAGCAAAAGCTGGCCTCTGGGCTTTCTTGCTTTTTTGTGTTTGGGCTCTGACAGATTTTGGACTCTGAGATTCTGTGTGCCCACTGCTCCTAAGTCAGTACACAGGGGTGGGGGCTGTCCCACGTTTGTTATATGCAAGTTTGAAATAGGGAATATTGAACTGGGGCTTTATGAAAGGTGCTTGTCTCTGTTAACTTGGGAGAAGTCTGTGAGCTGGGAAAATGAAAGCTTGTTTCCTTTAGTGCATGTTTCTAAATATGTTTTACTTTTAAATCAAAGTTGTTGGATGTTGCTTAAGTAAATTACTATAAATTTAACTTAAATGATTTAGGTGGTGCTGACCATCATTCTGCAGGTGTATCTCTCTTGAAGCACTTTAGAAGGGGATATAAGCAGTGGACTCGCTCAGTTCCAGATGCAGCCAGCAGTTGGCAGTTCATCACGGCCGTGGTAGAGCCAGCACCATGCAGTTCAGCCTCTGGGCAATTCCCTGTGCCACTCCTCCATGTGGTCACTGCCTTCCTCTGCTCCACGTGGGTTCCCCCCGTGGATGCTGTCCTTCCCAACAGATCCTGTGTGTGCTTCCCACAGGCTGCAGCTCTCCAAGCACGGCTCCAAACCATAGGGCCACCCTCCATCCCATAAGCCTGGTGTACCCAAAGCCAGAGCCACAGCAGGAGCTGCTGGTGTAGAAAGTTCACATCTAAAAATAGCATAGACATAAATTGCTTCCTGATTAACAGTTCGTTTAAATAATTTGCTGCTATTAAACTTACTTACAGTAGTGAGTGTATTTTCAGCATCCTAAAATGTGTTAGCTGCGTAGCCATCATTAAAGGTTGTTATCTGCTAAGTATGTGTGGCACCTCAGGCATGCTGAAAGAGCCACGTGTTCACATTTTTATAAATGGGGGAATTTCCATTTTTGATATTAATTGTGGCCATCTATCAAATCAATACAGCAGTCATTAGGAAATCTTACTGTACACCAAAGTGCTTGGAATCAGGCTGAGTTGGAGTGGACTGCCTTCCAGGTTTTTCGTAGAAAACCTGTGATTGTTGGTTGGTGCTTTGTAGTAATTTTTGCAGTATGAGCTTAACCTGAAATGTTTTGTGTGCTTTAAATGGAGCATGAGCTTTTACAGTTCTACCACAGCTCACAAGCACAGGTTTGTGGCTTAGTTTTGGCATTAAGTCATCCAAGTCAGGCTTCCGTTTTGCTTTGCTGTAAGTTCAGTGATATAAGCTGTAGTGAATGGAAGGAGAAATTGTTGCTTGCCGTGTTTGGATGGGGAAAAAAGCCAGACTGTAAGCGTGTTGGAGATTTCCCTCTCATCCCACTAGAGGGTGATTCCTCAAGGTCATCTTGCCCAGTTTGTTCATGCCAGGATTT